TTCAAAACCTTTCTTTGTTCTAGGAGAAATAAGTTATCAGTTGAATAAGCCTAATTTCAAAATACTCAGAACTGCAGATAAAATGTAAAATAAAAATTAATTTTAGAATGTGTTATACAACATTCAAAACCAAAATAAGGAACCTTTGAGAACTCTATTCACCTTATCAAAGGTTGTGATGCAGCATATTAGCACATATTGATTCTTTATAAAGTCACTTTCTTTTTAATGAACATTTAACTTTCAACGCGATCTTTCCCATTTGTGCCACTACTTTAATACTGAAAAAACATCACGGAAGGAATATAATACAATGTGTGTGACAGAAACAAATCTCTTAATTTAACTAAAGCTCCTTCTTACTCCATCRTTATTCCCATTACTTTTAAAGATATAGTTTGGCTATACAGATGGGAAATTGTTTATACGAAGTACCTGTGTTTATCCTGTAACATTTAATGCTACAAAGATGGATGCTGAAAACAAGCACAATCAATGTCAACAACAACAAAAATTGAAACAAAATGTGTTTGCTAATCAAATGCCGTCAAAAAAAATGGAGTGTTTTACATTAATACCACAGATAATTGCAGATAATAAATCACCAAGGAAATCCTGGTTGAAAGCTGTGAAGACACAGTGGAAGGCAGGAAAAAAAAAATGTCACACCTGGTAAAAACAATTTAAAGATTTAAAACAATTTAAAGATTTAGAAGATTTAAAAATATCTCTTATATAAGGGAACAGTAGTGCTACTTGGCTGTGCTGGTGCCCTACCCCATGTCCAAGAAAAGCTTCTCCTGRGATTCATCCAAACAAGCCCTCCCCTCCTATAGCACAGGGAACTGAACAGCAACAGAACATGGAAACTCAGTCAGCTGAGAATCGTTTCAGCTCAACGAAAGGCAAAAAAAAGCATTTGACATGGAACCAACAACTACTACAAGCTGGGCCGAGAAAGGATAAGAGCAAAAAGTCTAACCTATAAAACAAGAACRAGCACAAAACCTGCCACAAGTGTCAACTACAGGAGTGGACAGCAATATAAAACTCTAGGGAGAATCAGAGATGCACTAAAAATAGGAAAGAAGCAGCCAAAAGCTGTTTCCACAGACTCGTAAGAAGAGTCTTCTCCTTAAAATGCTGGAAGGAACTGAGATCTACTAGAAAAGGCAAAGCACTAGGGCTCTATTAGCCAGGGTAAAACTTGCTTTCTCTGCTCAGGAAAAACTGGCTTTACTGAAGCTTAACATGATAATTGTTACTGGCATAAGATGACTTTGTGTAGCACCAATAAGAAAAAAAAAACACAAAAAAAAAAAAAAAAAATTTGACTTTGGAGAGGTCTGTCCATATTATTCTGAGCCTAAAAAAATAAATAAAGCAAAGAAAAAAAAGAGCCAAACAAAAACAAAAAACAAAACACATCTCAATCTCATACGTTTATTACTGAATAACCTCAGCTGCCTTCATAAAAAGGTGAAATAGTAATTTGGATAGTCACAGCCTCATTGATGATTACCATGGAAAAGCAATTGTTAATTGTTACCAAAAAAAAAAAAAAAAGAAAAAAAGGGACATTTCCTTCCACAGAACAAGAATCAGAAAAAAAAAATTGTCATAACATGAAGCTGTAATTGAGAAATAGAGCATTGACTGAAAAATCATATGAGAACTAAATTAAATACAACCGGGACTCCACATTCTTTATGAAAATTAAGGTTTCAACATGAGATAATTAAAGCAAGGATAGCCAACTCATGGTGTGCCAGAACGTATAATTCAGGCTGTCATCTTCGTTCCTGGGAGTCCCTCGGAGTGGGTCAGGAAGAAGGCTGTCAGCCGCACAAATCACTCACTAACCCACAGCACTCTCCCTGCTGTTTTCCTTTAGGGCCTCACAGCCTCCCATTTGTCATGTGGCCAGACATGCCCTAAACGCAACCTACGGGCATCATCACTGCATGCAGTATGCCCGCTCAGTAACATGACAAAAGGCCTTAGGTACATATGTCCCCAACGGGCAACAGTGTGCTATGATGGGGCCATGGGGTTGTGCTCAAGTGATGACTGCAAATCTCATTACATGACAGATGAGCACATGTTCCCCAAAGAGCCTCTGCTAGGGGATATTGGATTGACCTGCCAGAAAWGCTGAGTGACACTGACCTAAACAAAGTGAAGAAAACAGAGTCAACTGTTGGGAAGCTTGGGACTTGCAATGGGGAAACAAAGATGAGATAATGGGAGAATGTGAAGGAAAGACAACAAACACACACCGTCAAATAACTAMACCTTCATGCCTGTGAATTACTGGGGGGGAAGGAAAAGGACAGGAACATCTGGATGAGATGAGATACAAAAAGATGTGAAGATGATGAACACTCAAAAAAAATTACAAGGATTAAGATAAAGAAAGATGCAACTTCATGGACCAAAATGATTGAACTTTTCAGAACCAATGAATTGATGAAATGACCATTGAAAAATAACACATAGAAAAAAAAAAAAGAGATGTTAGGATATGAGCATGACAAAAAGTAATTCAAAAGTATTAAACATGTCCAGGTTTTATCATTAGATTAAATTTCTTATCTATGCTGAAATGTAAAGAAAAAACACTGACAGAGGAAGAGGGGAATGTACCGCAGAGCCAGAAAAATACAAACTGCACAATGCAAGGGGACTCTGCACAAAGTGAAGCACATCAGGGGAGAGAAGCCACACTTTAATGCAGTACAGAAACAGGAATAATGAAGCGATGCAAGACACTATGAAAGAGCATGGGTAATGTTCACTGAATACAGCTTAGAGCTTTTACATAGGTACCGAGCCTCTCATTCCCTCAAATGAATCTTGAGGGAAATATGGAGGATGCAATTGAAGTCTGCTGCTGATAAACATATGGGGATGGTCATATCTACAACAGAGCTTCAAGCCACCAAACTAAAACACAGTGAAACAAATCTGTGGTAAACCAATTAATTTAATTGCTCTAGAAGACTCTTAAGAATCTACTAGAGCTATACTTAGAAGAATTTTGCTTCTAGGGACCTGGCTTTTTTTTCCCCTTCCATTACAACTGTTTTGAATCAACTGAAGAAGAATTGTGTAAATCTTGATCACAAGCTTTAATATTYTTACCTGGCCTCATGCAACAGCACTTCAAAGCTCTTTTTAAACACAAAAATAAGCAGTCCTCTAAAATCCTCAGAGAAAACAAAATAGATGAAAAGCCAAGTGGGCTTTTCAAGAAAGGCTCTGAGACTATTTTGGCATAGAGAAAGAAAAACATGATAACATTTATGATTTAAGACAAAACAATTGATATTCAAAGCAACCCAGTTTTTATAACATAGGATATTAAGAACACCACATTCAAACAGAAAATATTTTTTTCAGAAATTCTTCAGGTAAATTTTATTAGAAACTAATGCAAAACACAATCAGCAGTTTTCTGGGATAACAAGATTATTATTCAGCCCTGTCAGAACTTCAGCACATGGTTTCAGGACCATACTATTCATTTTAATCATAGCAGCAATGGTGTGAAACAAATTGTACTTCTTAGAGAAAAGTTATRTATCAGCAAAAAGTCTTTTCTGGTTTAGTTCTTTAAGAGGCATTTTATTATGACGAAATAAGCAATATCACAACCAACTCCCTCTTTCAGCATTTGGCCTACTGCACCGTGCAATAATCATACAGCTTTTATCCTATCATTAAAATACTTCAACATCTCTTACGTTTGTCAGTTTAAGAATGCTGTGATTGGTTTCTTTCAAGGTTAATAAGTGCATTTAAGACAGGTATGTTGTCAATAGAAGTATATATTCTTTCCATACATTTCAGGAAAAAAAAAAATCAGAGATTTTATTAGCTGCTCTTCTACACCCATCATACACATTCATTTTTCACTCAGTCTTCTCTGGTTGTTGATATATCAGCTGACTCATTACTGGTCATTATTTTACTATCCCAGTAAAATACAGCACAATTCAAATATTGCCAATCTCAAGATTTACTTGCTGTTTCACATAGGTCTCTCTTACCTGTTAACTTGTGCCAATCCCTGTGATAGACACCACTAGCTGCAGCACCCTCTTCTTGCGGCCTCTGCAAGAATAAGATACAAGTGCTATGGCCAACTAGCAATTTCCTTACACGATAACAGACTGTTGGGTGCAGGAGGGGTGAGTTGGTGCATGTCCATAGAGAACTCATGGCTCCTCTATCTTTTTAAGAGCTTAATTCTTGCTTTTTAGTGTTATTCATTCTTCAATGCACCCACAGAGATCTTTTCTTTTGTTTTTCCACTTACCTAAGTTCCTCCTGTTTGCTTTCTGACAAACCTCACAAAAGAGGCTCTACTTGAGATAGTTATTGCATGGTTTACATATCACTACTAAAAAGCTATACAAAGSCAAACTTCTTTTTTCTTAAAGTTGCTTCACTTGTTTTATAATAGAGCTTAGCTTTCCAGCTAAAGTAACATTCTAATAAAAGAATTATTATTTCTGTGTTGAAAAGTGCTTTCCTCCAGACAAATGCACCCAGCCTCTGACACTGAGCTTCCAAGAATATTCCCAGAAAATGACCTGCCCCCTGCCTCTAGCCTGCACTCTCTCAGCTCTGACACAGGTGACACTCATTCACCTGTGTCACGGTGACACGTTTGGCCAACCAAAGCCAGTGACGCATTTAACTATTTAATTTTGTTTTCTTCCTCCAAACCCAGGTATCTGCGGAAGCTGCACCCCATAATTGCGCTTGTTCAAGTGAAAACGCAGTAATACCCCTGCTCTCCACTGAGCCTACCCACTCCAGCACAGCACGCTAACGGCCGCTAACGGCCACTATGAGCCGCTCGCGGCGCGCACGCGCTATAAAGCCAACGGCAGCCCCAACGGTCGCACACGTTCGCGGCGGGGGGCGGGGCAGGGCGCGTGCGCCGCAGCGCCCTGACGACAGGGGAAGGGGCGGGGCTCCATTTCAAACCGGGCGGCGCGGAAGTCAGTGGTTGCGGCGGCCGTTGGGTTCGTTGCGCTGCTTGCTGCCATGGCCAAGCAGCTCGGCCGGGAGCAGCAGGGCATCACCCTGCGCGGCAGCGCCGAGATCGTCGCTGAGTTCTTCTGTAAGGGGCGGCGCGGGGCCTCGCGCGGCCGGGCTGGCGCGAGAAGGGGTCCGTTCTCTGCCGGCCGTTGGGCCGCCATGGCGGCCGCGAAGAGGCGGGGCTGGGCCGGCGCGTGCTCCTGCCCCCTCCGGCCGCCTCACCCTCCCTCCCCTCGGTGTGTTGCAGCCTACGGGATCAACAGCATCCTCTACCAGCGAGGCATCTACCCGCCCGAGACCTTCACCCGCGTGCAGAAGTAYGGGCTCACCCTCCTCGTCACCACCGACCCCGAGCTCAAGAACTACCTCAACAACGTGGTGGAGCAGATGAAAGGTGCAGAGGAGGGCAGGAGTGCCGGGGCAGGAGGCTGCCTCTTCTGTGCTGTATTTCTGCCTGTTGTCTTTCTCGTGCTGCCAGTAACTGCTGTGGCTTCTTGCAGAGTGGTTGTACAAGTGCATCGTGCAACGCCTGGTGGTGGTGATCTCCAGTATTGAAAGCAACGAGGTCCTTGAGAGGTGGCAGTTTGACATAGAGTGTGACAAAGCTGCGAAGGATGAGAGGTGAGCGCTCGTGTTCCTCTGCGCCTGACCTGGAAACGCAACCTGCTCTCGTACTCCCAACAGCTGTTGCAAGCCTCGGCACTGTTCTATGCCTCTTTTTCCCCAATGAGCACAAAAGMTGTCTCTTCAAATTTGTTACCTAGCCTACTGCTGCTCCTTCTGTAAACCAGTTGTAGTRCTGATGTACATGTAATCCTTGTGTGCGGTAAAACTAGTATCAGATAGAAATTTGATTTTTCATCTTCAACATAAAATATGGTATCAGGTAGGTGCCTTAAAGAACTAGTTCTGCTTTCCTATTCTTTTGCCAAAACACTTTGTCATTCCCTCCACGTTGAAGATTTGGCATCTGATGCCTTACAAGTACTGTGAAGCTTCACCAAAAAAAAAAAAAAAAAAGTGAAATTGAAAATCAATTGTTCTATGCCTGTTCACCTAAGAATTAAATGAATGTCCCAGCTAAACAAAACTATACAGCAAGCAGAACAATTGCAGCTTAACAGAGAGAAAATTATTTAATGATATCTGCTAGTGTAGTAAAAGATTCCTTCCCTAACAAAGYTTTTCTTTCCAGTGCACCTCGAGAAAAATCTCAGAAAGCTATTCAGGATGAAATCAGATCTGTTATCAGACAAATAACTGCCACAGTAACTTTTCTGCCTTTRTTGGAAACTGCCTGTGAGTATTCATAACTTCCCTAAAGAAATCAAATCCCCTTTGTAAAGATGGAGGGAATTTAGAAGAGACTTTTGGTTCACCTTGTAAGCTTAGTTTTCTTATTACAACGTAAAGTGTCACTTACTGTAGCATTTCTCACGAGATTAAATTTTGTTAAAGGGAGACCAYRTCTGTTGCCACTGCACAATAYTGGCAAGATGTATCAGATCATCTTRAAGTATTATTCCATACTGCTTTTTCTACATTAAACACTAAATACACTACSGTAAATATAGATATATATCTCATTAAAGAACTTTGAAACTTCATTTAAGGGACTATTGGTACTTTCTACCCTRAAATAATTTAAACTTTAGTCAAAATGACAGAGCTCGTTAGCTTAATGAAAATAGCAAGTGTACTTGGTACTCTGCATGATTATTTTTATGACTACATCTGTGAGCACTCATGTTTGTATGACTCTGTGCTGTGAGCACAGCTTCTATCTGAGGCAAGTACTATACAGAASTCATCTGCTTTAATGCGTTTAAAAAAGGAGGCAAGTCAGTCCCATTAAACCTTCAAATAGAAAATTCTACTAATACAAACATAGTGAGRACTTTCCCCTTGTGAATGTGAATTTCCCCTTTCCCCTTCACATACCTAGCACAACTCCAGTTTCTTGAACTTTAGAAATCTCATGTTCAGAAGCACTTTATCTTCCACCAAGCTCATTCTTAYGCCTACTTTTACTGTTGTCCCCCTCTGCTTATAGGTGCCTTTGACTTGCTGATTTACACAGATAAAGACTTGGCGGTGCCAGAAAAGTGGGAAGAGTCAGGACCGCAGTTCATAGCCAATTCAGAAGAGGTTCGTCTTCGCTCCTTCACTACCACAATCCACAAAGTTAATAGCATGGTAGCTTACAAGAAGGATTCGTTTCCTTAAGATGTGCTTTTTGTCATCTCCGCCCTGTCCTGTGTAGCTGCATTGTGAACAAACTAAGCAATGAATAGCAGCCTCCTGTTACTGCRGATTGGCAGGAGCACAATACAGAAAGAGGACAAAGCACTTGTCTGTGATTACAGATACTGTGAGGTCATGCTTATCTAAGCTGCTAGCCTTTCCAAGAGGWACATAAAGGACTTATCCACCACCAGAAACCAATTATTACACTGAACAGGATGCACCAASTCAATGGTGTGTTAGCGACACTACCTTAGGAGCAGCTGCTAGAACCTTAAGTGTCTTTAGCTTAAAAGCTTAAGACTAAATGTGTTCTAGTAGCACTCAAACACACTTAGCATTTAAAAACCTTGCTCCTACACACCAGTTTTTCATGGTAGAAGAATCTGTCCTGCATACCCTAAACAATCAAAGTTAATCAGCAGAAAAATTCTATGCAGTTACTTGTCTTTCCTAGCCCTTGAAAGCAGCTATTCTTCAGAAAAGTCAAATGCAGAAAGCCTTGTATAGTAATGACTTTTCTAGACTAGGTAGTTTTGGGGATGTTGTTCAAGGCTGTTGTGTATCTATTTCTTCGGTGTCTGTCATATATATGTTTTTATTTGTTTTTTATAAATAAAGCTTGAAAACTTACAGTGCTCTTTAATTTGTTGCTCCTGTGTTAGGTGGTCTATGTACTGTAGATTTATCTAAAGTGCAGTCCTGGGTTTGCTCTCTATAAAAAGTCAAAATGTTTATCATAGTCAACACAAGTTTCCCCTCTTCATTCTTTGCCTCACACTGTCAACTGTCATTCAGAGACAAGTTGTGTGGGCTTGGAATCAATATTGCCTTCTACCTTTAATACAGCGGTAGCACAGGAGTATGTTCTGCACCCAGACTCTGCTAGAACTAGGAAAAAAAAAGTTCTTAAAAGAACTTCTGAGTTCTTATTCCAGCTTTTGTTCATGTGTACAAAATTCATGTAACTTCCTCCACTGCTCTAGATATATTCATGTTCTGAAAATTAACTGCAGCAATATTAACTAAAATAGAGGTTGTGCCAAAGTTTGCAGCAGTTGTATGATGAGTTATGAAAGGAAAATCCTTTTGGAAGAGGTATGAAGAACCCTTTCACTTGTTCTATTGTAAGTGGTGATAGAGAGTAGGTATTTGCTTTCGTACCATCAAAGTGTCAACCTCAAAAACAGTAACTGCTTTACAACAGCAAAGAGCCTAGGTCCAGTAGTCCTGAATCCTGTAAGGCAAAAATATTGTAACTTTTTTTTCCTTTTTTAAAAAAGTTTATTAAAAAAACCTTACTCATATATAATCTGAAGCCATATTATAGATTTAATGGGCTTTCCTACCATGGAATAGTTGAACTTAGAAAAGAAGGTCAAGTTGTTCTATCTCATGTTACCAGTACAATTCAGAGATTGTAAAAAAAGCATGATTCAGAYACTTCCATTACCTGGTATTCCTGGCCAGGGCTGGCACTGCGCTGAGGACAGTACCCACCCTATTCCTCTGCCTGTCAGCAGAGCACTGTTTTAAACCRGAGACTGCATGGCCTATGTCTACCTGGGAAGAGGACTATACCAGCAAGTGCAGCTTCAAGCATTTCCCTCAGTGAGAAATGGATCAATGTATTAACACCACATATCATTTGTAAAAAATAAAATTTAAATGGAATRACAACCAATGTTTTTTGACGAGTTATTTTTTTGCCACAGTTAGAGGCAGGAAATGGCCAATACATAACTGCGTTAAGGCATCCAAAAAGTGTGTTTTGCTGAGGTGCCGAAGTCAACTTGCTCCAGGAAGTTCAAGTCGCCTTGTGCTTACACCAAATGTATCTTCTCTTCTTCCTTAAACTGCACCRTTAATTTTATTTTTAAAATAAAGCCAGCAGCAATCAGGAGATGGTTGCAGTATTTACAGCAGAACCAGATGTCCATGAAAATTACCTCTGACGAGGTACAGCTCATAAACCTCAATGTTTTCAAAGACCCTGCAGAACAAGAGATGATTTTTTTTAAAGTGTATACCAGTCAGCTTAATACAACCTTCCTTCAGTAAAGTTTTTAAAAAGTCCAACAGCATTTGCCAATGCCTGTCRGTACCCACAGTCTTCCCCTTGACAGTCACCCTCCTTATCTTACAAGCACTTAAGTTTCCTCAGCCTTAGGGCCAAGGCGTTGTCCTTTGTACAATGAAAAAACAAAAACAGAGAAGTTCTCCTCATCTCTGATGCCAGTAGAGCTGGTCTTTGGAAACCAGACAAACATCAGGATWTAGGGGTCACCCCACAACACACCTCACCTCATCAGTTCAGCTGACGGATAAGTCGGTTGATTTCTTCACCTCTGCAGCCKGGCTTGCCCATTTCCTTGAGGAAACCCACTTGATTCCGTGCAGCGTGGCGAGCCACTGACAGATGGAATGGCCACAGAAAGTCCGTGACTTTTTGGAAGTATTTCCCAGCTGAGTAGATTTCATGAATGAGATCTTCCAGACAAATAATACCACAGTTTCCTGCAGGATAAAAAAATAAAATAAAACCACTACTGTAAAAATACCACACGTACAAATGTTAAATTGCAGCATTTTTCAAGCAAGTCACGCCGGAAATCACTAGTCCTCCATATATGCATCCCAAAATCCTTCCTCTTATGTCAGGTTGCAAGCTCTCAGTATTGCCCTATTTCTTTGATTTGTTTTCTCATCTTCATCCTTACCTAAATGTTCTTCTATCAACACATTGTCTGTCAGAGGGACCTTCTTTTCATTAATCTTGGCTTGACCCCGTTTCAGAATGAGCTCTCGTACAGACTTGAGATTAGGGTATCTGTAACAAAAAAGGAAAAATAAAACWAAACAGAATTTCTAAGTGAGAGGAGGCAGCTGTTCTGCTTCTGATGAGTGTGACGACAGCCAAGGTATGTTTAGGACAAAGACATGTTTTAGCTGAAAAGGGACAAATTTTAAATCTGAAGCTGCCAACACTATGGCTTTCACTGAAAAAGCCACATATGGATCTGACCTCGTCGTGATACTACAAAGGAAAAAAAATAAAAGGAAAGTAAAGCTGTGATATTTACATGCTATTTCCTACTAAAGCATCAGAACACAACTTACCCCCATGCCACATAAGGYTCCACAATCCTTAGCATATTCAGAGAGTGTGGAGTCAGTTTGACAAATGTTCCACTGAAAATTTTTCTCAACCGAAGCAACTCAATCACTCTTCGTACCTTCAGACTTATTCCCTTAATCCTGATTCAGGGAAAAAAAAAAAAAGTTACCAGCAACCCTCTTTCTCTAATACAGCAACAAAACAGCCTCAAATGACTTACAAAAGCATACCCATACTGATCATACTTCATCATTTAGAAATAACATTACAGATGGCAGTCATAGCAAGGCGTAACTAAAGCTTCTTACTCTGCAATCCGTACAACAAAGGCCAGTTTGTGGTCCTGTGGCACAGCCACCCTTCCAGGCCTCTGCTTCATGCGCCGCAGCCTGACCTCATCTCGGTGTTTGCGCCAGGAATCTCGAACAAAAGTCTCCAGGCGTTTAAACTGGATCTGTTTCCCTTTTTGGTGCTAAAGACAGAGATGAGAAATGATCACTCTTCCCAACACAAACACTTCTGCATCTTACAAATTTACATCAAATTAAATGAAACTAAATTAAATGGTCAAGTTGAATTCAGTTTGAGCCATGCTCTTTCAATCTGGGGAGACTGAAGTGGGGCAGTAAAAAGAAATGTAACTTCTTCTAAAAGAAAGGTATACAGCTGAGAGAGACAAAACTAAAAGACAGAGACTATGAACTGAGGAAGAGACACGACTGAATTAAACTGCAAGGTTTAAGTGCCAAGCAGTAACGTAAAACCCACTACTCAACAGAGGTTTTCCACAGAAGAACAAAATATATTAGGAAAAACACAGAACAAGCCTTGGGATATTTCTCGACACAGCAGGAATGGGTTCAGGGACCACCGCCTTTCTGTCAGCCCTGCAAACCCCCTGCTTTCCACGCGAGCAAGACCCGAACGGGCCCGGCCGTTCCCAGCAGCGCCTCGGCCGCAGCGCCCGGGCTGAACGCCGGGGACGTCTCCCAGCGAAGGAGCCCCCCGAGCCGGGCCCGACCCTCCCATCCGCCGGTACCTTGCGCTTGTTGAGCAGCGCCTGCTTGGCCTGCGTGGCCTTCAGGGCCTGGTAGGCCTTCCGCTTCTTCAGCAGGTTCTCGGGCACCAGCGGGATCTTCCGCTTCGGCCTGCGGCACGAGAAGCCCGTCAGCCCCGCCAGCCCCGCCGCCTCCCTCCCCGCTCCCGCTCCCGCTCCCGCCGCCGCCGCCGCGGATGGCCGCGGATGCGCCCCCGCCTCCCTCCCCGCGCCGCCACTCACTCGGGCTCCGCCATCTTGCCGCTGCCCMTGGGCCGCCCCGCCCCGCTAGCGGCCGCCCACGGCGACCGTTGGCGCTGCGGCCGTTGGTGACGCGGCGGGGCGGGCAGGGTCTGCGCGCGCCCACCGCGAGGGGACAAGCGAGGGGCGCCTAGGCCCTCCGTCCCCGTGGGAGGGAGGCCCAGGCCGTAGGGATTAACGTGGGAGCGCAGTGAAGCCCAGCCCCTTGCAAGGAGCGAGGGAAGCAGCGAGTGGCAGTAAAGCCCCCAAAGACACGCGGTTGTACCCCCAAGTAATGCGGTCACTGCAGGGCAGCAGCAGTGAKAGAGAAGTGCCGTGTCCTCCTCATCCTCCACACGGGCACCTGCAGCTGCCTCGGGTACTGAGTGCAGAATGGGAGGTCGCAGGAGCCTCAGACAAGCCCAGTGTGAGTGGCCAGTGGTGCCTCAGAGGTCTCTGCAGGGCCTGTGTGCCGGCACCTTCCCAAAGCGGCGCAGCTGGGCTGAGCCCCATGGGGCTTGCGCTGCTGCTGCACGGAGATGGGGCAAGGACAGCCAGCAAGGGAGATAGCGCAACCTTGCAGCCTGCGGTCCACCACGGGGCCTGTGAAGAGAGGGCCCTGGGTGCAGCAGCTTGGGGGTCACTCGCTCCTTTAGAGCCGTGGGAGGCTTTTCCCAGCAGAGCTCAGTGTTGGCTCCCTCCCTGTGGAGCAAGCAGTGAGTGGGAACAGAGCACCAGGAGATGCCAGGAACGAACTGTCTCAGATCCAGCAGGACACTTAGATGTGACAGGAGCCAGCCTGGCACTTTCCCATGGCTTTTCTGCGAGGCAGCAACACAGTAACTTTAGCCCAACTGTCCCTCGTTGATAAACAGCTTTGAGTCCACCTCTCCCCAGAGCTCCTGGTATCACCACACCAAATCCACYCCTTGTGCTCTCCACACATCAGACAAGAGCCACCATGTCCTGCCAGTCACAGAGCCCTTTGACATTTTAATCAGCTAAGGTGACTTTTATGTGAAAGATAGAGGTGTGGTTTTGAGGAGGAACATACCAACATAGGGAAGATTCATTCAGGGAGAATGGAGGCTGCCAATGCAAAAAGATCCACAGGTAGGAAGCCAGCAGGTGTTTGTATCACACACTTACTTGTGGACAGTATTGCCTGTATTCGCCCCAACACATACCCTAAAAGAGGTGAAGAAAAGGAAGGAGGAAGCAGAGCCCTTAGCTGAGGCCTCAGAAAGGTCATTAGGGGCTCATGGTTGGGGTGGCTCGTGGACAGTCTGTAGGGAAAGCACCTCTTCTTAGAAAACAGGAAAGGACCATTGCACTGAGCCTGTAGGAGCTTCTGGATTTACGGAAGCTCAGGCAGGATTAATGTGGAGCAGAGTTGAACTTTGGGCTTGACCATGGCTGAGTGCTCGTAGGAACAGCCACTGCGACCATGCAGAGCACAGGTCCAAAGACAAGGAGAGACCCAGCTGTGGGGATAGCACAGCRGGGTCTCAGCAACCCTGTGTAAAGCAGGAGAGCAGTATTAATGCGTTTTGTTGTTGTTTTCAAACTCTTGGCAGGGGGAAACAATTGTGAGAAACRGTTTGGACAGCAAGCTCGCCGACAGATGGTGCCATAGCTTCACATTAGGGCTGTGYTGTTGCATTTGCTCACGTTGCATTTGCTCATGTAGGGCCTGTTCTGTTGCCCTGTCCGTGTGAAGCACGCGTGTACACTGGACTCGCTGCTTTCGGGGCATCTATAATCAGTTTGATTCACACCATATTTCTGCTTCAACTAAATAGTTGAGAACTTGAGACTCTYATTAAAAATACTAGCGGTGCCAAAGCCTACTGCTCAAGCTCRCTAAAGCTAAATTAGGTTGCAAACCCTTTCAAATCTGTAAATCAGGCCACTTCTGTTTTGACACCTAATACTTGAATATCCAAATTTAGAAGCATGTCCCACATGCCAGTACCTGCTGAGGGATGTACAATCAAAGACAACATTATTTGATGAGTAAAACCAGTCCCCTATCAACTATTCTCTGATGCAGCCTTTTGGCTTACAAAACTGAAAGCCATAAGCTTATGAAATAGTCCATATGAAGCCTTTCCTGAACCAAAGGGACCAGAAGCAAATCCATAGCTATATTAGGGTAAGCTGCTATATATAAAAATAGCTGAAAGCTCTGGTAGCTCCCCAGGGACAATACAGTCCATTAAAATTTACAAATGACTGTATTTTGTTTAACAGAAAGGAAGTGAGAGAGGGACCTCGGGTATTTCATTATTTACAGTAAGGAAATGATAAGTGAGTAAATATTTCGAGCGCTGTTGCTAWGAAGTGTCACACAGCATAGCAGTATACCTGGATGACTTGTTAAAAATTAGCTAGTATTTATAGCATATTAATGAATGATGATTCAAATGTCCTTGTTTGCAGGGTAATAAATCAAAGTATCTTCACTTTTCTATAGAGTGTTTGTCAACTGGCCTTCTGTACTCTGAACTCACCCTCTCTTCTTTTTCTCTTGACAAGGCCTTACATTTTCTCTGACTTCAGGTAAATGCTATGGATAAATCCAATGACTTCATGTTTGTGATTGTCACCATCAGCTAGTGAAGGATAAAATGATTCCTCAGTTCAGGGGACATTCAGAATGACAGAGAAAATCTGTGAGAAAGACTGGAAAGGAGAGACAGAGAGGGGGGGAAAAAAAAAAAAAAAAAAGGTGAGGCTCAGAGCCCCCTCAAGGCAATTATTTTTGAAACTAAGGTTTCACATAATTCAGAAAGGCCTGCTGGGCTGGGGCAGGGAGGAGGGGAAGGAAGAGATAAGGGCTACCAAAATCAAATGTGCCATATCAGAGTATAAATCATCCATAAAGCAAGCCAGAAAAACCTGTGTTGACTTTTCATCAACAGAATAGGATTTTTTTTTTTTTTTTTTTTTTTTTTTTTTTTATCCCTGTACTACATGGAGGGTTTTTTTTCACACTTATTTCAAAATGTAAAATGCAAAACAAAAAAATCAAGATACCTATTTTAGCAAAATGGTCGCTTTTGATAATGTCTGCAGCAAGTGTTGTATGCTATTTTGAAGAGATGGTCTTTGGAAAGTTGAATGGAAAGACCAAAATCAAAAGGCTGCAGATACCTTTCATTTGCCATTTTCAAAGAACAGGCACTTTTTTCACTTTTGTTCTTCCTTATGGAAGGGATTTACAAAACAGAATCTCTCAGGAAACCTATGTCTTGCTTTGCCTGATTTGTTTGCCTGTATGTATGTGTGTGTATATATATATACACACACACACTTTTTTTTTTTTCTCCTCTCTCTCAAGTTGACAAAGTGACCCCACTGTAATCGCACTGGTCACAGCACGGCTCCCCAGTCGCCTTTGCAGGGGCTGCCCGTTCTGCCTTGCGACTCTTCCGACCTTTTCCGCAGGTCCCAGGCAGCCCTGCGGGAGCAGATCCCTGTCTTGCACCAGGGCCTTCGTTGGAAGATGCTGCTCAGTGAGAGCCTGAGGCGGCTTTTTGCCTCTCTCTCTCCTTTAACTGAGATCTTTGCTCTTCGGTGCACAGACAAGTGCTTTTGCACTGAGGCTGAACTGTGCATAGCTGTGGGAGGAATAAGTGGTATAAAAAGGTCTAGTCATCTACATTACCAAGCTTGTTTCTACAAACATGCAGTGACGGCAACCGTGAACTCTGTATCTGACTCTGTAATCCTAGACCACAGCTTACGTCCCAACAAAAATTTATTATGACATTCCYGCGATGATCAAAAATCCAATCCCTTTCTCTATACTGACGATGCTCCCATTTAGCTACCACCAGAGTTATGGTATTTCTGTTWTTTTTTTCTTAATGTTTGTGTAATGATTGGATAGCTAATAGTAAAATGATATGCCATGGTTCCCTAACTGTATTAAAAATGTTAAACCATATTACTCTATAAATAACAAGCATGACAGCATGTCTGAGCAGCAAGTATTCTGGCTGGTATTTGATCTGCACTTTGAAAGTACAACAGATACTTTTTCAAGCAGTAACAAAAACATGTTACTAGTGAGCACACAATATATTTAAAACAAAGGTTAAATGTCTAYATGTAAATTAATGTAAACAAATATATGTAAATATATGGACCTACTTAGGGGGCAAGTACATAAAGAATTGACTCACTTCTGCATGTGAACTTCTGGGCCTCCTGTGAGGAAGTCTGCACAGTCAGACTGAAGGACAAGTGATGCTGACGTGACTGCGGAATCAGATCCTGAATCTAAGAGGAGGTGGTTAGTGCAGGTCACAACCAGCAGATAAGAACATGGGGCACAAGAATCCTAACAGTAAAGTCATGTGCTTAAGAGGGATGTTTTGTGTCTTGTCCATGAACCTTCTTGCCCTGCTTTAAGAGAAGAATACAACAACACAAGAAAACTATTTCATATTCTACAGAATCCCTACTGACGGTCTTGAAACAGCAGAAGAACCAAGCTTGAAGTCTGTCATTCTGGCCACTGAACCATGCCCCGATATTGAAACCTCTCTCTAATGAGTTCCCTCTTAAAAGAGCCAAAGAATTAAATTCTGTTTATTTTGCCAAGCTGTGATCTAATCTTGGGAGCATTTTAACAGGGAAAATACCTTGTGATCTTAAATTTTCAGATCTTTTAAGGAAAAAGTTTATATGATTTGGAAAGAGGCCCGGGAGCTGCTCTATATACACACTCAAACCAATGTTTAACAAAGACAAAACTGGGTGGTCCAGATTTTTCTTCCACAAAAATCAAAAACATCTAGAGATGAACTAATATTTAATAAAAATATTTTTGTGAAAAGTTGTGGATACATGCATATTTCTATTCTTTTAAAAGCATAAGTTATTTAACAACTGCCTTGCTTGTCAGAAATCCTGCAAATATTTCATGCCTTACAGGGAGCAACAGGGCTATAATGAAAAGACCTGGATGCAGCTAACGTAGGTACCTTCTGCTACCCTCAGTTTGATATGTCAGATTAAGAAG